AAAAAAACAACTATTTAAAAATAAAACCTCTCTCGATTTTAGTGCGACAATTACAAAAATTGCATCAAGAAATATATGATTCTAAGGAATAATACATATATGTCCAATAGAAATATATCTTAGATATATTCTTATTATCTCATTAGAATTAATGATATTTCTTGTTTTTTTTTTAATAAAAATGAGAATGAAGTGCCTTAAATAGTAAAAGTTATTTTAGGGGAATACCATTGAAAATATGGGATTTTGTTGAGAAATTTGGGATAATTAGCCTTAAAAGAGTTGGCATTCCTGGCTGCATGTGCAGAAAATTCCTTTGTGTTATTTATGCATTTCTCAACTGCCATGTAATACAACTTTTATAAGTTATAATTTGATGGCACTGCAAAGTATGCTCGGCCTACTCTGATGCATCCTCCGCTCAATGCTTACGGTTTTTTTTTTGCGGATTCTGCAAGGCTTATAACCCTGAAGAGGTAGTAATTACCTATAGCTACTATTGGCCACAGTGCCTACACACAATTTTTTGGTCCAATAAATATATTTTTTATGAATATATACATAATGTATGCAAATATACTGATCTCACCTCTCACTGTATGAAGTCGCCGGAAAGGATTTTTCGGTCCTTAGGAAAGTAATACACCTTTGAAATAGAGCCGAAACCAGGCTACTCATTAGTTATTTAACGGAACACAATCACATATGCACTGGAGTAATTGGAGAGAATGTCAAACACAGTCGAAACTGTTAGACCTAAGAATTTTTCGAGGTATCCGGGCTTTTATAATAAAAGTCATTGAAAAAAGTTATTTTTGGACTTTTATATTATCCGAAATAAAATAATCGGTCAACCCGGAGTTTTATTTTTTTTTTGTCCAGTGATAACAGTTACACTTGACCAAATATTTTCTTTCTTTTGTATTAAATTATAAAAAATATATATATAAATAGGAGGTAACCTTCCTTTGTATTATTATTCACATACAAATGTGTGTATATTTAGAATTTATTTTTAAGTAAATTCAAATTTGTTTTTACGTACCTTTGTACAAATTCTGCATTAAGAAAGGATTATCATTAAAATCCATCGGTGATGGGCGAACTAAGTACGGATGCCATCGTAATTTTATTAATGCAAAAAGTGTCCGAAACTTGAACAAAAGATGGTCATAATAAAGACGACACAAGAAATGACAACAATAACACAATACAATGGCAAAAAAGAAGGAGTAGCTATTTGCTAAGTAATAGGGGTTTGTGCAAATACCAACAAAAAAAAAACGGGCAGCAACTACAATGGATGACAAGTAAATTGTACTGAAATGCATTTAGTTTCAAAGTTTTTGTGGCACACACTTTTTTACCTCTCAAAAATTGTGTGCGCTGAAATACCTACATAGGTATAATGTCGAAAATGATAACAAAAAGAAAGAAATGGGAAACTGAATTTGAACTGTAAATACTGTAGACAACTTTGAATGGAATTTAAGTGAGAAAAGTGAGGACTAAGTACATAGCAGTAGAGAAGAATCTTAACAAAAATGCAAACTTGCAAAAAAAAAAAAATAACTCTATTTTATAGAAATATGTGCATAAATATATATATAAAGGGATTGCAATATTGTAATGTCATAAAAGTAATAGTAAAAAAATGCACGAAAATAACCATAAAAAGGAAAATTTTATTAAGTTGAAAGTCTATGTATTTTAGTTTATGAATACTCCTGCCATATAATGGACTTAATGGAATGCATTTAGGTAGTATTAGTAATACTTTACAATATAAGTATTCGTTTCTACACTATTCTACGTATGTGCACTAGGGTGGTACAAAAATGCATGTGCGGAAAGTAAAGTCGGAATTTTAATGCTCTCACCCCTAGGATTGATATATTATCAATACAGAACAATCCTAGGGGGTGAGAGCATTAAAATTACGGCTTTGATTTCTCTGGACCACGCTAATGTATAGATGTGTATATTACCTTACGTATATAAATGCTATGTCGCATGCATGATTTTTTTACACTGAAGTTGAGTAAAATGATTACGTTAAAAATTTAAAAATTATTATTTTTTAATTTTTTGAGTATGCAGCCTTGTATACCATTAAATTTTAGTACAATAAGTGCAAGATTGAAGCGATTGCAAAACTGGCTAAAATTTTTTTTTTGCAAAAAGCCGTCAGCATGAAAAATTAAAAAAGAAATCAAATCAAAAAAAATAAAAAAAAATTTTTCAGTAGCTTAAAACTTGCACTTTATTATACAAAAACTTTATAGGCTACAAGACTGCATACTCGAACAAATTCTAAAAAAATTAAAAAAAATTGTAAATTTGTAATGTACTCATTTTACTCAACTTCGGTGTAAAAAAATTCATAACTCAAATTATTCTAGAGTGCACCCCATAATACTATACTTAAATATTGCGCAATACTCAGAGCTACCATTGTGATTACTTTTTCAACTTTCTTTAAAAAGGCCTATTTTCAAAAACCTTTTTTTTATCAAAAAATTTGTATGTGAAAAATAATTTTTTTTTTTAAATACTTCTTTTCATAGAGAATTTTGATGTGTGTGTGTGATTTTTTGCTCGCCCCGTTCTCGAGATATTTGGAAAACTATTAAATCGATTTTTTTTTTGATTTTGGGCTATAAAGTTTTTAAAAATTTATTAATCAAGCTCAAATTTCATATTTGTTTATTATTTATGTTTATGCATCAACCCTAAAATTTTGAAACAAATCAAGCACATGAAGTGTGAACCCCGCCCGTTTTGGTATGGAACGTCCCATATACTTATATAGTGAATACTTGACTTACCTGTGCACTCTTTTAGTTTCTTTAATTACACTTCAACAAAGCCCAAATATTTTTCACACAAATATGATTGCAAATGTATTTAATCAATTTCCTAGGTGTATGTATTTACAAATTTAATTCCTTTTAATTCCATCGAAAAATAATCGTATAATTTCAATATTTGATTAGTTTTTTGGTGTTAGAGATTCTTAAAGTAAATTTTGGTTTTTAGTAAGAAATTGATTAAATTTTTAGGAGGCAAGCTTGTTGCAATAGCAAACAGAACTGAAATGTATTTACATTTAATTCGATAAAAAATATGTATGTATGTACGTGTGTTTTTGCTAACAAGTTAACGTAAAGACAAATGCGTAAATAATACTTTTCCTAATACATATATGTAAATACAAACAATTTTTGGTATGCCAGTAACGTTTTATGAAGAAAAA